ACCGGCCTTCATAAATCGCAACCTTTCGGCCCTATCTTTCTTGTATCTATACCTCAACGCTCGGCCAGAAGCCGTACTAGCATCCTGGACCGATTTAGCCCAAGGTCTCTCAGTGCTCACTTTAGAGTAAGCCGGTTTTTGCAATTTATGAAGGCCGAATGTAAGTTTCACAGAGCACAGTGCGCAATATGTCTCGGCACCGTCCCTACTATGCAGGAGGTTGCATTTGAGAAGCACGAAAATCCAGCCATTTCTATATTGCCGCTTTGATACCAAGCGACTCATCTATTACCATTGAAAGGTCCCGAGAGTAACATACATAGATTTACTCCGACTCCCGATGTATTGGGTAGTCAGGGAAGTTTTGAGAAGGTATCCTCTTCCAGTAAAAAGAAACGTAACGAGCGAATGCGCCAAGACAAGAAGATGCATTGCATGCTAAGAAAAAGATAAGTGTTCGTAGATGAAGTATTGCACTGGTTGGTGATATTCTTCATCGTTGGTAGGAGCTGACATATTTTCAAGCAGGTGGATAGTTTGAGCCGTCCAAGATTTTTATAATTTATTGGCCAACGTTTCGGCTTCCTCGCCTTCGTCAGGGCCTGAAGAGTCCAAAACAATTGAGATTGTTCCCTCGAACGCCCCCACAAGAACATAAGACTATTTCGATATCCTAGCAAACCACCTAACGGTATAGATCGATAAGTGTGAGTTGGCTTACCTTGATCTCAGCCGCGATGACGTGAGATCGACCACCCAAGCTGCAGTACTACTAACAATGAGCTTACACCTCCACTCCGCGACCTCGACCTCGAACTTTGGACTCCTTCAGGCCCTGACGAAGGCGAGGAAGCCGAAACGTTGGCCAATAAATTATAAAAATCTTGGACGGCTCAAACTATCCACCTGCTTGAAGATACAACAATGCCAAGATTAAGAGAAGGTCGATCCTGGTCGGAGCTGACATGAAGTTGAAAAGTTAACGAGCGCGACGATTTCGGTCCCCTTCTATTTCCTATTTGTTGTCCCGCCTGCTCATTCAGTCAAATCAAGGATGAGCCACTGTCACCGATGCTGGGCATAGCACCCTCCAAAATTGTCTGCGACACTGGTTCAAAAAGTTCTCAGTAAGGACGTTCGGAGGCAGTTGGCACGATAAATCCCTAAGACGAGTAGGAATAATGCGCCTGACAGAACAGAATTCCTTA